ACAAACAGGGTTTTAGAGGGGAGGGCAGAGGGGGGATTGGTTAGCCTGGTGATGGGTATTAAGGAGGGCACGTACTGCATGGAGCACTGGGTGTTGTACAAAAACAATGGATCGTGGATCACCACATCAAAAACCAATGATGTATTGTATGGTGACTGACATAACATAATAAAATTTTAAAAAAAGAAAAAAAGGAAAAAAAAGATGGTAAATATGAAAAATATGTAAATACCCAGGTTTAGAGGAAATGCAGTGAGTGTACTGTGGTGAGGTCTTTCTGAAAACATTTGGCAGTATGTGTTAAAACCTTAACACCTGCTTGCTCTAATCCAGAATTCCTCGTTAATAATTCATCCTAAAGAACAATCATGGATAAATGTCATAGTTTAGCTTCTAGAATGCTCATTGATGCAATGATTCTATTCAGAAAATTTAGAGACAATCTCATGTTCAAAACAGCAAATCAGTTAAATTATGGTACAACCAGCCACTTAGGGGAATAGAATCAACCATGAAAGTCATGATGAACATCAGGGGTCAGCCAACTTTCCGTAGAAGGCCAGGAAAGAAATACTTTGGACTTTATGGGCCACACATCATACACTATATCACCTATTCTTCTTTCATTGCTTTGCAACCCTTTTTAAAACTAAAAACCACTCAGAACGGGCAGGCTGTGCAGAAATCCAACCCACAGGCCATTTGGCCAGCCCTCAATGGAGATAAATATGCATTAATATGTTTATGAAATGAGTTAGGTGCAATATATAACATGCAAAACTGTGGGTAAGAATGATTTAATCTTAGTTTAGATGGGTGTGTGTGTGTGTGTGTGTGTGTGTACACTAGTTCAGTTTATATACATATGTATATATATTTACACACACACAGTAGACAAAAGACAATTAACCACATTCAGGGACAATTGCGCACTGTGTTTTCGGCTGTTTCTACAATGGTTGGGTATTACTGTAATACGAGAAGAAGTCATTTTTACTTTCATGTTTAGAATACAGCCTGAAAATTGGGAAAGACTGACTTCCATCCCAAAACCTGTCCTCCATTTCTCCATTAAGCAAATCACATCACTTTTATTGTTCTCAGTTTTCCACCAATTAAAGAAAAAAAAAAAAAATACAACCCATGCCTCAACTAGGACCATAGGCGGGTTAAAGAGAATGTAGTTGTCAAGAAGTCAGGTTGTATTAGAGCACTGGGAGCGATATGGTTAGACATTGGGATTTGTTTCTGATTTTGTTTTCTAAACAGTATCTTTAGAACCACCAGAGTTTGATATTGTTGACTTTACGGACCACATTAACGTCAATGTGAATTTCCCACCTGTTATGCCCAAGATACTAGATGGAGAAGTATTACAGTTTTACTTATCACTCATCATCGAAGAACAGTCAGCGGGGATTGTCAAGAAGGTAAGTGGTCAAAACAGTTCTGAGTTGGCCATGAATATATTTGACTCTCTTCTTTAAAAACAAAGACATTTGTAATGACTAGAACAATTAAGGCTAAAGGGTCTGAGGCAATGGGGTCTGACTTTAGGGAAGAAGTCTCCATAGTTCTTTCATTGTGGAGATATGTTGACTTAGCCTAGCAGTGTGGTCTTCTTTCAAAGAATAAGTCACATGCACAACATCGGGGGACACACAGGAAAGAGAAAGGAGTGTGGTGTAGACCAAGAGAACAGGCTCATTTTAGCACACACTAGGGCAAAATTCCAAATGGTAGAGTGAGCGCAAGTAGACTCTGCCGTAAGAGCAGCTTGCATGGGCATAGCCCTTTGCCAAGTATAAACCCTTGCCCATAATACCAGCCTGCAAGTTATCAGGGGCAGGGGCTTTTCAGGCAGAGGGCACTGGAAGTCAGAGGTCCTGAGGCTGGAGTGGACCCAGTGGATTTGAGAAACAGCAGGGAGCCGGAATGGAGTGACCAAGACAGGAAAATAGAAGGAGGTGAGGTCAGGGAGGCAGTGGGGCCCGGATCTTGTGGGGCTTTGTGAGTCTGTGTCTTCGGAGTATCATGAAGCTACTGAAGGATCCGAGGCTTTACCAGGGCATCCTGCCTGGTGTACTGAGAATAGATCATAGGAGCCACAGTTGGAGAGAGGGAGGAGAGAGGTAGGAGACCAGTTAAGAGGCTATTATGATGGCAGTTACTCAATAGGAAGTAGCAAATCGTATAATATAATATCCACTTGGATTATAATCAACACCCTAATCCTTTGATTAGGAAAAGGGTACAAAAATAACAGAGGGAAGAAATAAGCTTATGTAGCTCGGAGACTATATCAAGTTTCTTTAAATTCATAATCCAGTCACATCTAATTTATATTCAACCCATGAGCTTCTAACTCTGTTTGAGATTATTATTTCTAAAATAAGAGGGCTATGCTTATTAGGATATTGACAACACTGTAAGGGGGAAATGGTGGTTAATGAGCATTCTCGTCATTAAAGGAAAATGGTCTTTGGACTAAATTAGATCAAGGGAAAAAAAAGAAGAGGCTACTGGTGGAATCCAGATGACAGCTGGTGGTGACTTGGTCCCTTGGCAGTAATGAGAAGTGGTCAAATTCTACATATGTCTTGCAAGTGGAGCCGACAGTATTTTTGGATGGATTGAATGTGTGGTGTGGTGAACAAAGAGACAAGAGCACCTGGATAGATGGAGTTTCCATTCATTAAAATGGGGTAGATTACGGACGGAGGAGGTAGATGGTTGAATCTCAGTAGCTTAGATTTGGGTATGTCAAATTTGAGGTGCACACAAGGCATCCAGGAGGAGATATTGAGCAGGAGTTAAAGGCTCCAAGTCTGGAGTTCAGGGGAGAGCTTCTAGCTGGAGAGATGTCCAGGGGAGTCATTGGCTTCTTTGAGTGTATTGATACCTTGAGGCGAGATGAGATCACCTGGAAGTGGATATGCAGAGAGATGTTCAAAGTCAGAGCCCCAGAGGACTCAGAATGTAGAGATCTAGCAAATGAGGAAACAACAAAAGAGACTGGGAAGGAGCAACCAACAGCGTAGGAGAAGTAGGTGAGAGTGATGTCCTAGTAGCTGAGAGACGAAAGTTCCAGAAGGAGAAAGTGATCTACTGGGTCAAATGCTATAAATGGGACACATTAGGCGAGGACTGTGGATTGACTATTGGATTTAGCAACATGGAAGTCCTGGTGACCCTGATAAGAGTGATTTCGATGGAGTGTTGGGGTGAGGATCTGGTAGGAGTAGATTCCAGAAAGAGAAGGAAGCGAGAAATTGGAGACAGTGAAGAAAGCTAATTAATTCTTCTAAGGAGTTTTTCTATAAAGAGGAGAGATACTCTGTGGTGGAAAGTGGGGTCAAGGAGGGACACTTTAAAGTGGAAGAAGTTACAGCACGTTCATGTGCAGATGGAACGTTCCAGGGGGATTGGTGGAGCCATGTTGTTGAGGAGATGAAGATGGATGGAATCTCATGAGCACAAGGGGTTGGCCTTGGCTCAGAGCAGGGACTGGGCATCCAAGGCACAGTGAGGGAGGCAAAATTGTCGGGCACAGAGGCATATCTGTTTGCTTAGGGAAATAGGAAGCAAGCATTGCAGTCTTCATCAAGATCACACAGTGGCAACACCAGGTGTGGGACCCAGATATTCTGACTCTCGGCTACCATTGGCTGTTCCTCTTTCAGGCAGTTTCTACTTCTCTCCCCCTTTTTCTCTTCATTGCTTCTTGGCCGTGCATGAGATTTTAGTTCGTTAGGACTTTTTCTTTTTCTTTTTTTTTTAACTCTTCCTCCTTCTAAACAGAAAGTTGCTGAAAAACATTATTACAGAAGGCCGTATTTGACCTGCTGAAATCCTAATTTTACGCTATGCAGAAGTTGTTTTTCTTGAAAGAACCTTCGTATCATCTCTTTAATTCCAAACTGGAACAGAACCATCTGGGAGGGAAGAGGCAAGGTGTTTTAAGGGAGAACGTAAGAAATTAGACAGCAACCACAGTTCTGCCACAGACAAGCTGTGTGGCCTTGGAAAGTTACCTAACCACTCTGAGTGGTAGTTTCGTCGTCTGGAGAATGGGGATAACGCCAACTTTGCAGACCATTTTAATAATCACATTCATTAATATATATGAAAGTACTTCTGAAGTGTAGACACATATCATTAATGAAAAAAGATAATCTTTTTTTATTTTCTCACTTTTGCTAGGTTATCTTAACTCAAGACAAAATAGTCTTGTAAAAATGACGTCATGGAAACCTTTATTCCTCATTGAAACTTTTTCTACTCATTTATAAAATGAAGTTGCTAGACTAGATTTCATGGTTTGAAAGTGTGCGTGGTATACACGTACATGCAGTTTAGTGATCAATTGCTGGGCCCAAATAACTTAAAAATCCTTTTTCCTTTCAAACCCACAATATTTCTATCCCTGTTTAAGATTTGAAGACGAATCCCCAAAGAGACTTTTCCAGCCTGCCTCTAAATGAAATTCTCAAAGTCTTCCTGATTTTTTGCTTCTTTTCACAGCATAACCCCACACTAAATGAAAACATCACTGGAAATTTCACTTACGTCATCGACGGGTTACTTCCAAACACAAACTACTGTGTATCTGTTTATTTTAAGCCTAGATATCTGGGAACAATCCATAGATCTCCAGTAAAATGTACCCTCCTTCAACCTGCACAGGACACAGGTATAAGTTTTTAAAAATTCATGTGTTGCTTTTATTCTGCGGGAAAACCTATTTAATGAGAAGAATCTGAAAGTCATGGAGCATGGACGGAGATGTGTTCTATCGGTCAGTCTCAGCCAAGTGCTGGAGTCACTTTGAAGGTGCCATACCAGAGGGACAGTCCATATCTACCTTTATAAAGTCAGATCCTCCTGAAGTGGAAATGCTTCTATTTCAGGGAGTCAGGATGAAATTCAGTTCTCGGTGCCCTTAGGGTGGCCATTACTCAAGCCAAGGGCTGGAGGAGGCAGAGTTGTTGGAAACAACTGCAGGCAGAGATATCAGAGGGTCAAATTATGGAGGTTGGGTGTGGCTCATTGATGTGGCCTGCCTCGCAGGAAGGTGGGCTGTAGCTCGCAGCCGGAAGGAAAACTCACCAGTGTGAATGAGATAGTCCCTGACGAAGACTGAGAAGTCCTTCTGTTGCAAAGGCGTCAGAATAGTAAACAGCATAGTCCCCAATCCTTCCCCGCCGAATGGAGAAATTTGCAGTGAGAACAATCAGGCTTAGGCACATCCGCTGCCGCTGATTTGCCTAGGAAGTAACTAGGTCTCTGTTTTGCCAAAAGTGAAAATCTCCACCAAAGAAGCCTCTCTGAATTTCCCAGCCCCGAGGAGAGTTTCTTTAACGTTCTGATTTACCAGATGACAGACAATAAGGTGAGACAGAAGGAAGAACAGTCAACGGTAGGGCTGATTTGTGGGTTAAGGGAACTACGCTCCACAGTGCCTGGCGCCTGGCGCACGAAGGTGCTCCCTGTGATTTTACTCTCCTGTGTTTCTCAGGGTTGGATGATGCAATTTTAAAGGGAAAAGTATCTCCTTAAAGTATCTTTAAAGGGGAAAGCATTAGCTTAAATCATTATTATAGTGTCAGTTAAATACAGGCAAACCTAAACTTGCATATAAATTCCTTAGGCCGTTAGCTCTTACAAAAATGTGAACCCCAAACAAAGTTGCATACTTATGTCCTGATACCTATTCTCCAACATCAGCTATGTGTCCAATGATGCGACTCATTTCTGACACTCTCTGGAGTTAGTGTAGGCCCCCCACGTGAAGGGGCTCAGTCCCCCAAGACCACCCCCTTCGGGTGCCGGCTGCAAGTCTGGCCACCCAAACTTATGTCCATCCTGGCTACAAATCCAGAGGTTCCCACAACCTCCCTTCAGACTTAATGAGGCAGGAGCTCCTGTCCCCTTGGAGTCAGGGGGCACCACCCTCCGAGTACTTCCATGTGTTCACTGACCCAGAATCTCCCCAAGCCTTGCTGTCCAGAGTTTGTACTGGGATTCATTACATAGCCATGATTGATTAAATCATCATCCATTCGTGACTAAATGCAATCTGCAGCCCGTCTCCCCTCCCTGAAGGACAGTGAGGCCAGAAGTTCCTAATCTCTATCCACTAGGTTGGTTTTTCTGGTGACCAGCCCCTATCCTGGAGCTATCCAGCACCCTGCCTTAGTTCGCCTCGTTAGCATAAACTCGCATATAGTCCCCAAAAGACACTCCTATCACTCAGGAAATTGATGTTCTGTGCCAACAACTAGGGACAAAGACCAGATATTTTGTATTATTATTATTATTAATCCATGGTCTTATAAACAAAACCAACTGAATGGAGAACTATTTTTCTCCTCCTCATGCACGGAATACTCCTGTGCTCCGTCTGTGTGGGGGCTTTCCCCATACCAAGCAATCCTCCCACACCAGCTCTGTGTCTTCCAATTTCACTCAGTCCCGATACCATCTACCTGGAGGTAGAGACTCATTCTCACAAGACTGCCCCCACCGCCCCTTCGAGCACCAGTTGCAACTCAAAGTTGCCACCTGGGTGTCAGACCGGCTAGCTGTAAATTGGAGATTCTCACAAGTCCTTCCCTGGGTTTGATAATTTGCTAGAATGGCTCACAGAACTCAGGAAAACAATTTCTTTACTGGTTGATTACAAAAAGATACAACTCAGGAACAGCCTGACCCAGGCCGCCTAGGGCCAGGTATGAGGGGAGGGGCAGGGAGCTTCTCTGCCCTCTTAGAGCAAACCCACCACCCCCCCAACTTCCCAACCCAGAAGCTGTCGGAACCCTGTCTTTTGAGAGTTTTATGCAGACTTCATTACAAAGGGAGGACTGATTAAATCCTTTGCCATTGACAATAATTCAACCTCCAGTCCCTCTCTTGCCCCCAGAGGTCCAGGGGTGGGGTTGAAAGTTCCAGCCCTCTAATCACCAGTTGGTTCTCCTGGCAACCAGCCTCATCCTTAGTGGCTTTCCAAAAGTCATCTCCTTAACAGTAAACTCAAGTGTGGTCACAGGGGGCTTGGATATGAACAATAAGCGACATTCCTTCACTTTCCTTGCTCTGATCTCTTAGGAAATTTCAGAGCCCTGTGCCAGGAACTGGGGACAAAGACCAAATATATATTTTTTATTATTATAAATCACAATCTCACCAATAAAAACTCAAATTAGTAATAGGACACGACAGACGGTGGTTTGCTGAAACTCAGTCCCCACCTGGAAGACGAATGTAAGTCTGAGACCAAAGGCATGCGTTCTTTGGAGGTTGACATGCTCTGTGGTGACCCAGTTTCTCCCTGACTTTTCTGTCTCACCCACCAAGAAGCGGTCATGCAACAGCATGTTGTCATTTCATCTTTACTTGGTGTGAACACATCATTTTGCATATTAAATCAGTCTCCCTTCTTGTATCGTTACCCAAGACAGTGCAAGTGCAGGTGTCACTCACGATCCAAATATTTGATGTCTCAATTCTTATTGTCTGAAACTCAGGAACCAAGTAGGTACACATAACATGGACTCCTCACTGTCCAGACTTGCCATCTGAACTACCTTCAACTAGCCCAGCTTGGGAACCAGAGAGGTTCGGATGGTGGGAGATTCTTGACGGACAACCTGGGACTGGTGTTAACTTCCTCAGACTCAGGGGTGAGCTCTGCTATCTTAGGGGAGTGCTCATCTGGGGAGAGTTTAGTCTAGAGATCTAGAGAAATGTCTCCCCTCTGGTCAAGTCCTAAATTAACTGGTTGGCTCTTTCAGGAAGGCCTTGAGGGAGAGCGGTGTCCATCCATTTGACAGATATTTATTGGGAACCTACTATATGCTGTATTCTCTTGTAGATGCTGGGGAGACAGCCCTGAACAAAACAAACAAAATTGAACATCCCTGACCTCGTGGAGCTTACATTGCCGCAGAGAGATGGGAAAACAAAATTTAAAAAGCTACTTGCAGTCAGAAGGTTGAAGTTTTCCAAAAGGAATTTTGATGAGAAACTTAAGGGGCACTCAGTAGGACAGAGTGGCTCCAGTAGAACCCTGGTGTGGGGCGCCTGGGTGGCTCAGATGGTTAAGCATCTGCCTTCGGCTCAGGTCATGATCCCAGGGTCCTGGGATCGAGTCCCGCATCGGGCTTCCTGCTCCTTGGGAGCCTGCTTCTCCCTCTGTTTCTCTCTGTCTCTCATGAATAAATAAATAAAATCTTTAAAAAATAAATAAATAAATTAATTAATTAAAAAAATTAAAAAAAAAAAAAAGAACCCTGGTGTGGCCAAAGTCCAGCCTCAGAGTGATCCAGTTCTTTCTTTCAGACAAATTCTTCTTTTCTACCTCTTCCCACCTGTAGGGCATATTGTTAAATAACAGACATTCAAGTATATTTTAAAGACCTAATTAGCTCTATTGAACGATTTGGGAATTGGGCAGCATCCCATCTAGCAGGTAGAGAGGTGTTCCAAAGGGCTACGGAAAAGGAAAGGATTTTAAAGGCAGGACAAGGAAATCACACAGAAAAAAGGATTTTCAAGTGAAGTCACCACCCTTTGGGGAACAAAGGGGTCTTACTATATTAGGTGGATTACCTCGTGGTGCAGAGCAGGGAATTCCGGAATGACCAGTTAAGATTATAGTCCTGGGGGAGGTTGAAAATGCAATCAGGTTAGATATTAAGCCCCAGTGTGGTGGCGTGGGCCAGACATAAATGACTCCATTTTGGGCCTGGAGTTTTGTTTTGTTTTTTAACAATACTAACAGGTGGCGATTGAGCATTGGAGATGTGGCCAGGATGACTGAAAACTGAGTTTGGTGGGGTTTCGTTTCAATTTTGGTAATTAATTTAGAATTTTTTAAGATTTTATTTATTTGACAGAAAAAAGGAGAGAGGAGAGAGGGAACACAAGCAGGGGGAGTGGGGGAGGGAGAAGCAGACTCCCCGCCGAGCAGGGAGCCCAGTGTGGGGCTCGATCCCAGGACCCTGGGATCATGACCTGAGCCGAAGGCAGACGCTTAACCAACTGAGCCACCCAGGCACCCCTCAATTTTGGTAATTGAAATGTAAATAGTCATGTGCAGCTCATGGCTACTGTGTTGGAGAGTGTTGTCATAGAACATCATTAGAAACTGGAAGACAGCGGTGCCTGGGTGGCTCAGTCAGTTAAGCATCTGCCTTCAGCTCAGGTCATGAGCTCACGGTCCTGGGATCAAGTCCCACATCGGGCTCCCTGCTCAGCGGGGAGCCTGCTTCTCCCTCTCCCTCTGCCCCTAACCCCCTCTTGTGTTCTCTCTCTGTCTCAAATAAATAAAGTCTTTAAAGAAAAAAAAAGAAAGAAAGAACCTGGAAGACATGTTACTGTGAAAAATCTGCCACTTTTACCCTTGGAAAATATGTATACTTGGATTACTTTCCATTCTACTGTGTTTAACAATGGGTTTTCGAACGTCTGCTCCTTTGATACCTCATTCCATCATCAGCCCGATGTGCGTTCATTCCCATCTGTGATCATTAATTGGGATTTATTTCGAAATAAAGTCATTTCATTTTTCATCAACAGGGTCATCAGAATCTGCCAAAATAGGAGGAATAGTTACTATGTTTTTCATAGCTACTGTCTTCATAAGCACCATAATAATACTGAAACGGGTTGGTTATATATGCTTAAGAAGTGATTTCCCCAAAGTTTTGGTATGTAGTCTCTTTGTAAGTTTCTATCTTTATTTTTTATTGTAATTTAAGGATTTTTATTATACTCTCAAATATCTTCACAGCAGAAAAAAATCCCATTTTCTAAAAATACCAAGCTGTTTTATCACTGAATGATACCCCAATATATATGTGTCTATATTTCCATTTTCTGTTTTCTGTTTATACTTTGCCCACGTAATATTTTTAATGATCGTCTTGTATTCCATTGTCCTTAACGTATTATCTTTCCCTTAATCATTTTCCAGCTGTAGGGCATTTGAAATGATTTCCTTTCTTTTTCTTCTTTGGCCTTGATGAATAACGCAACATGTTTCATTAACATTTTTTGTAAAGATCATCTTTCAGTTTGGATTATGTCAGTGGAACGTGTACACAGGTGGATTTATCTTAAAAAAAAGATAAAGGATTAATTTATATTGCCAGTGGCGACATGTAGTTATACACATTTTACACATTTCTCCAAAGCTCTGCTGACATTGATTAATCATTTTTACAACTTTGGTTCATGTATCGTGTGTATAAAGGTCACCAGCAATTGCTCTCATTTGTGTTACTTTAATTATTAGTGAAACCAGCGCCTCTGTTTGTCTTCATTTTTCCGTCTGTGCTTCCCCAGGTGCACGCTTTCTGCTCAGAGCCTCGACCACTCAGACAAGTCTGGGGATTGATCTTACATATTTCCAAAACCTCCTCATGGCTTTTGACACATCTGCCCATTATGTATCATTTTCTGTATCCCATTGCTGTCTTTCCATAGTCGTTCTATGATTTTTCAGTCAGAAAGATCTCATGTTGCTCTGTTTGAACTCATTTCACCTTTTTCTTCTCATTTTTTAACAACCACATATTTAAATATTCCTCCACGGTCAATAAAATTGTACTCTTCTTTTTCTTGTTCTTATTTGTTCCAGTCGGGGGAGGGATTGTTTATTGGGTGGAGTGTTTGTGCTTTGGGAGATTTTAATTACAACTGGTATTTGAACCCAGCCGGCATTTGGCTGTGCCTTAGGAGATGTAGATGGCTCTGTACTGCGTTTCATCCACACTGTGATCCCTGCCTTTCAAGAACGGACATTTTTTTTAAATTTATTTATTTATTTATTTATTTGAGAAAGGGGGTGCAGAGCATGCATGGGTGCGCAGAGGGGGGAGGCGCAGAGGGAGAGGGAGAATCTCAAGCAGACTCCCCGCTGACTGGGAGCCCAGTGCAGGGCTCTATCCCACGACCCTGAGATCATGACCTGAGCTGAAACCAAGAGTCAGACGCTTAACCGACTGAGCCACCCAGGTGCTCCAAGAATGGACATTTTTTTATCCTCGGTGTAAAATATCTTTGGTTTTAGGCAAATCCTACTCCAATTCCTATTTCTCACCACAACCTTGAGATAAAAAGGCCTTTCGCACCACACCCATTCCCTCCTAGATAAATTCCTGCCTGGATTACCTAAACTGGTTACTAATCTTCCGTCCAAGTCTTCCTGGAGTTCCTCCCCTCCCTAAGATGCGTCCAAATTATATGCTAAGTATATATATATACTTAGCATTATTTATTGTGTTGACCCAAGTACTGGGAGGAGGTGTTGATAACTTGTGTCTTTCTAGTATTCCTCCATTAAAAATTGTTACTCTGACTATAGACCCCAGGAAACAAACTGAGGGTTACAGGAGGGAGGGGGGTGGGAGGATGGGGTAACCAGGTGATGGGTATTAAGGAGGGCATGTGTTGTGATGAGCACTGGGTGTTATACGCAGCTAATGAATCACTGAACACTACATCAAAAACTAATAATGTATACTATACAGAGGCTAACTGAACGTAATAAAAAAATAAAAGGAAAAAGGGTAAATGACTAAAAAAAAGTAAAACTCTAGGAATGGCAAAACAGAACACTCAATGCCTAGTGTATTTGTGTATATGTGTTAAGAATACATGCTAAAAATTTTTAATGGCATCTTTTTTTATTTTTTTTCTTCTTTCGTTTTTTCGGTTTTTTTGGTTTTTTGGTGTTTGCATTTAATAAATATTTATTGAGTATCTACCATGTGTCCACATGCTCTAGGCACTAGGGATACAAAAGTGAACAAAACAGAGGGAAAATCCTGCCCTCCTAGATCTTAAAGTCGGAGGAGTAAGGGTAGAGACAATGATAATTTATAGCTCCGAGGGGCTCTCACTTCTGGCGCCAAGCGCCCGGCCAAAAAAAAAAAAAGATAATTTATAGATGATATAACCGGTGAAGTAAAAACGTCACATGAATCTAGAGATCAATTATTAAGATTAATAAGTTTAACAGAGTTGGTACATATGAAATAATCAAAATAAAAATAAACATGAAGCTGCTTTTCAAACTTCCAAGAAATTAAATACACAAATCATAGTGTAAAACTCTGTGAATTTTCACGAACTCAGTGCATCCATGTAACTCATGCCTAAATCAAGAAAGAGACTATAATCAGCCTGCCCAGAAGTCTCTCTCCTGACACCTTCTAGTAAGTACCCCCCACCAAGAATAACCACTGTCCGGATTACTAACAGCATAGATTAGTTTTACCTGGTTTTGAACTTGGAATCCTACAGTTAAGTGGAATCCTATAGTTTTTTAAAAATACCATTACAGGGGCACCTGGGTGGCTCATTTGGTCAAACATCTGCCTTCAGCTCGCTCAGGTCATGATCTCGGGGTCCTGGTGTTGAGCCCCACATCTGGCTCCCTGCTCAACAGGGAATCTGCTTCTCTCTCTGCCCTTCCCCCCTGCTCGTGCTCTCTTGCTCGCTCACTCACTCTCTCTCAAATGGATAAATAAAATCTTTAAAAAAAATTTTTAAAAAATAAAAATACCATTACAGTAGTAATAAAAAATATTCTTAAAACATTTAAGGAATCAATCTAATAGAAGATATTACAGGTCCTTTGTGGAGAAAATTATAAAACCTGATCGAAAGACAGTAACAAAGATATGGTCAAGTAGAGAGCCCAAAACCAGACCCACACGTATGGAAACATGACTAATGATGAGTAGATATTGCCATGGGGAAAGAATTGGCCAGTCAATAAATGTATCTATATGGGAGAAGATGAAATTGGGTCTCTCTACCTCACACCATACGCAAATATCAGTTCCAGGTATACTAAAGACTACTGTGAAAGGCAAAACTGTTAAAGGTTTAGGAGGCATGATAGGAGATTCTATATGACATTGGGGTAAGGAAGATTCCCTCCGACACAAAAAGCAGAACCATAAAGGAAGAACATCGATACTTTTTTTTACATTAAGAATTTCTTTTCATCGAATGTCATTGATGATGTAAAGCAATAAACCACAGGCTAGGGGAAAATATATGTAACAAATAATCATAATAACATAAATAATCAACAAATAATCAGCATCCAGATTATATAAAGAGCTCCTATGAATCAATAAGAAAAAAGATGAACAACCCAAGAGAAAAATTCACCCCAAGGCTGGGTTGGGTAGTAGGGGAAGAGCAGGTTTGTCAAATTGGGCAACCCAGGTAGGCATAGGAGAATAGAGAGGAAGACGATGCCGATGACGATTCAGGATTGACCACCTCCTCCCCATTAGCCTCACCGTAGTTAACCTAGAGACAGAATCCACCAACAGCGCAAGACTCAGCCTGCCTTGTATTCTCCAGCACTCGCCCTGCTCAGCTGTATCCTGGCTGTGCTCTGTCCCAAGAGCTGGAACAGAATGAGCTCTGTGAGTCTTGCCATTCTCACCCCGACTCTTTAGGGATCTTCTCCACCTTTGAGGTCCTCCAGTCCAGGGAACCCCGATGGAATCGGCTTCCTAGCGACTCTCCTCACTCACGGTTCCCTGACACCCCTTAAGAATGTCTTGGCAATCCAGAATCTAAATGGATCGATCCCCCTGACATGCAAGAAGCAGCGAGGAGAGCAGGGTAGGAAGGAGTAGAAGCCAGAACCTCGTCCCCTGCTGCAGGCAGCCTACCTAGCTTGAAATCCAGCCTCCCCCACTCACTATTTATGAACCTTGGGCAAGTTTCTTTACCTCTCTGCCTTGTTTTCTCACCTATAAAATGGGGACAAGAAGCATAAGCCCACTTCATGGCACGGTTGTGAGGGTAAAATGCATTATAAGGCTAAGCACTAGGACCAGCGCCTGGCAAATAGTAAGTAAGCACTACGTAACTGTTAGCTCTTGTTACTGAGTTTTATTATGTCAAAAAGTACAGAACAAACAGAATTGATACTTTCTCTCTCTCTCTCTCTCTCTTTTTTTTTTTTAAGAATTACAACTCGTCAGCCTGGGTATTCCCTGAGATGCCACCAGTAGAAGCAGTGGCTTTCGTGGAGGTGATTCACGTTAACAGGAAGAAGAAGGTGTGGAATTACAATTACGACGACGAGAGTGACAGCAATGATGAAGCCGCAGACCCTGTGACAAGCACCGGTGGCTATACCAAGCATGGGCTAATGGGTGGGCTTCTCCGTCCCACCTCTGCCTCCTTGGCCACATGCGGGGACTGCCTGGAGTCCAACACTGAGGAGGCTGACCTGTCTGAGCAGGACTCTGAGCCGCTGATGACACCAGGGCCCTGCCCCAGGGGGTGGGAATGCGCAAGTGGGGCCTACGAGGGGAGAGGGAAGCTGCTACAGGACCCCCTTTCCGAGGAGGACAGCAGCTCCACGGAAGAGGCTGGGGACAAAATTACCTTCAATGTAAATCTAAGCTCTGTGTTCGTGAGCGCCCTCGATGACGACTCAGAAGTCCCTCCAGGGTTACCAAGTTTTCCAGAAGAGACGTTCGACCTCAAGGATTCCCATCAACTGGAAACAAGTTTTCTGGCGGCCCACGGGGAAGGGACACAGCCACCCTCCCCCACCCCCTCGGCAGAGTGCCCGTGGCCTGAAGATGTGCTTTCTGATAAAAGTGACAGTTCTGAGTCAGATGTTGACATCGGGGACGGCTATATAATGAGATGAACCCCCAGAATATTTAATGAACGTGGACTCACCAATACCTTCATGGTTTCCCCCCCTGCACTGTCACTTCCTCCCTTGTGGTCTGTAGTGTTCCCCAGGGAAAGTGTTGGAGACTGCGGCCGGCTCCCCCCGGGGTTGGGGGGGGGGTGGTTCCTGGTGACGGCATCTGTGCAAATTACCAGTGTGGGAGAGGAGTCGGAACCGGAACCGGACCTGCGGATCCTTCAGTGCCTTGTTTACATGTGGTTTGCAGGGGTGGTGCAGGGCCCTGCAAGATTTCTGGGAAATAATGAAATTAGCCAGGGTGGGAGTGGGGAAAGAAAAGAAAGACACTCAGCGGGGTTCTGAGCAGGTACAGGAGCAGTCTGCAGTGTTGAGTCCAGCAGGCTCAAGGAAGGAGCCAGAAAGCAGGCAGGAAAAGAGAAGGAAGGGAAGGCAGCCGGAGGGAAAGGCAGGGGACCCACAAAGAAACAGAAGCACATGTTGGAAGGAGGGAAGGTCCAGCCCAGTCTAGGGCTCCTCCCACATGTAATATTCTGTCACCTACACTCAGAGAATTTGGCTCTCGGCCACTTGGCCAGCCCTCCTCAATCTGAGTGAGGAAGACAAACTCACACACATCAGTAACTCTAGCGTCAGGCAGGTGACTAATAGGAAACATTTGCATGAGAGAGGGGGATAGAATCTCAGTGCCAAATTTTAAAATAAAAAAAAAAAACGAGAACAAATGGAAAATTGTTTCAAAGTCTTCAGAAGAGATAAGTCACAAAATTTCTGGAGAGCCTATTTAACAATTTAAGAAGTGATGTGTGCGCTGATTCCAAGTGTCCTATGTGTGACCAAAGTTCCTGTGTTGGGGGGGGAGGGAGGGAAGTTCTAGAACATCATGTAGCAAACCACACAAGAACTGGGACTCAGGTCTGACTCTGCTGCTATTTCCCTGTGTGACCCTGGGTACTTTGCTTAGCCTCTCTGAGCCTCAGTTTCTTCATTTAGGAAATAAAGGGATTGGACTAGGTAATCTCCAAGATCCTGTGGTGCTAGGAGAAATATTAGAAAATACATAGGAATGAAGACTCTGGTGGAGGTGCTACAACCCTGAGAAGCCCCTAGGGTGAACCAACTCTATGGGACCTCCTATCTCATTCCCCTTGCCCCAAGAGCAGGCTTCTCAGACCTTTCTTCTAGATCAATTCAAAAGGGGGAAAACAACTATTATGCGTCCTGGTTCAAGGACTTTGAAGAGATTGTTTTTATGACGGTTCAAAAGTAACTCAAAAGAGGGATGTGAGAGGAGAAGGGATTATTTAATGACGTGATGAAATTCCATAGGAACGGGACCTTTTCATGTGACCAGTTCAATTCTCTGCCCTCTTAAATCATCTCTCATATTTTGAAAGCTTTCCAGAGTGATCTTTTGGAATACCCTTTTTATAGCTTTTATGCATGTGTGTATGTGTTTTATATTTTGTATAATTGAAGCTGGTGAAGGATAAACACTTTTTAATAAAACTTGGTAATGTCCTCAGAGTTGTTTCTCATTAGAGAGTGTAAAAATGCAGCCGCTTTGTGGTTCTGCTGGCATCTCGAGGGTTAAACAAAAGTCTCTCTGTGTGCCAGTGCCAAGAGGGGCCAAGGGAACATTCATCCTCAGGGGCTATGTTCCTGGTGGTCAGACCTCAAGCAGTACCTTACATCACTCTGTACTTACCCTGCTCTGGGTTTTCCAACCTCACCACTGCCCAAGCTTTGAAAGAGGAAATTAAACTTCTCTCAAGCAGTCTTGTGAGAGTAACAAGTTTTTGCCCCATAAACGACTTGGTTTTGTGTGGTGTTTATCCCTGGGTGGGAAGGGGTAAAGAAGACCCTTTCAAACTGTCTTTGCTAATGGAGAGCTTTAAAATCAACCTATTTGCGGGCAGAGGGGATCATAGAGAAAACTTGGAGAAAGTTTTCACTGGAGAAAACTTGGGGAATACTGAATGGTGTCAAGAAAAACCACCACCACCCATAACCCGATAGAATCTCTGGGTGGGCGTTGTAGTGTATTTATTTAACTTGGAAAAGCATGCATTTAATGTTGGGGGAGGCGTCTCCCCAATCGGGGCACTGTACGTACAGTTTTGCTACTGGTCTTTTGCACCCCCCGCTTTGGGGGAAGCAAGGTCCCCTCCCTCCGCGTCTCCCTACGCCCCGCCAGGCCCCGGGGACACCGCCCTCTCCCCGCAGCAAAGCGAGGCGCTGGACTCCGACCGGGGCGGGGCCCAGGAAGGGGGCGGGGTCTCGTCTCGCCCCGCCCCTCCAGTACCCGGAAGCGGCCTCGGCGCGGGGTGGGGT